CTCTCTCTCTCTCTCTCTCTCTCTCTTTCTCTCCGCCCAAAAAACGTATGATTAGCCAAATTTCTGGTGAAATATAGACGAGTCAGAAAATTCCGGTTGTAGTTGCTAGAATTCTATTCAAATTAACCAGAAATCTTCTTCAACCGGAATTTCGAGTTTTCTCTCCAAACTTTTTTTTTTTAACATATTTATTTATTTAAATCTAGATTATTTCATTTAAATAGAATAAACAGTTGCTTTCACGAAGAGCTAAGGTTCACTTAAGATATTAAGAAAATGTATATTTTCTTATTCAAAAAATATTTTATATTATATAAAATATATAATATATATTTTATATAAAATATATAATTTTATAATATATATTTTATATAAAATAGATAATTTTATAATATATATTTTATATAAAATAGATAATTTTATATTATATAAGTAAATATTTTGCTGATACCGTAAATAAATATCTATTATTAGATATTTTTTCTCTTAGATTATATGTGAAAAAAAGGAATATACATTATATAAATTCCTAATGTGCTATTATTCGAAAAAAAAAAAAAAAAAACAGATCTCCGGCGACGATGGCGGCCACTGCGTATGGTACGGGGAATGTTTCTTGGATAACTTTCACAAGAAGAACTGTCTGTACAATGGACCGGCGAAGCCACTGGAGTCCGAAGGGCAGAAATTGCTGGCTAAGTATTGTCCACACTTGTTGGTGGACAACGGCAAAGGAATCAACACCTGCTGCGACGTGAAACAACTCAAGACGTTAGACACGAACATAAACCTTGCGGCGGGCTTTCTCATGAGATGCCCTAACTGTTTAGATAATTTAGTAAAGCATATTTGTGATTTCACATGTGCTGTTAACCAAAGCAAGTTTATGAATGTTACGGATACGGCTAAAGTGGATGGTAATTACTTGCACTTTGTCTTATTACTTGAATTAAGATCTCTGGCTCCTCATTGAGACATTCTTGACTGTGTCAGAAGCGAAAAAATATACGCAAAAAGTTCTTACAAATGATAATACGATCAAACAAACTTGTAGAATAGTTTGAACTTTTGTTTAAACTTTCTTTTTGTTCGAACAATCAATAAGTAATTGTAAAATTAATATAATATACAATTTTCCTCTTTAACCTATCATCTTTCATGATCATTTATCACGTTCATTTTATTGTTATTTACTGATAGAGTAGAAGAGAAATATTTCGAGGACTATTTTACAGGTCTGTTCGATCGATTATAAATGTCATTTTGTAAAAATACTTTATTCCAATGTATTTCACAAGAATTTTAACTTTCTCACACTTCTGACGCCATAAATCGAGATGGCCGTGGCGAGGAATCAGAAGCCTTAAACCCAATTTACAATATTCTTTTTGTTTTCTGTTTTTTGTTCTTTGCCTTTTTCTGACTTAAGACTTAAGCCTGATCTACAATATGCTCTTTGCATTTTGTTTCTTATCTTCTGCCTTTTTCTGGCTTAAAGCTTAAGGTTTGAGTCAGAAAGAGATAAAGAGAAAGAAGCAAGAAGCAAAGAGCATATTGTAGATCAGGTTTTAAGATTTGAGAAAGAGATAAAGAGAAAAAACGGAAAGCAAAGAGTGCACTTAGATTAAACTTTTAACATAGGAAAAATTTATTGTTTTCACAATTAGCATTTCGATGCGCCTGTACATATTTTACATAATTTTATGTATCTCTTTGCAGATAACGAATACATTAACGGAGTGGAAGTGTACATAACAAATAGGTATTTGGAAGGAACATTTAATTCGTGCAATAAAGTGTCCACGCCGAGCACAGGATTACTAGCATTGGATCTGATGTGCGGCGATTGGGGGGCGAGTAGGTGCACCGCGCTGAAATGGTTCCACTTTATGGGCGACGCGGCGAACAATATGTACGTGCCGTTCCAGATCACGTATGTGAACACGGACGTACCCGTCAAGTCGTTCGAGCCGTTGGATCCACAAATCACATCGTGCAGCAAGCCGCTAAACGTGAGTAATTGTTCTTCTAAAGAGCCGCGCACACAGTACTCATGTGCCCTAAAAATGTCACATGTGAGTACCTGGGTGCTCTCGTAAGACTATTAGATTCATTAACGACATGAAGCCTTCAATAAACACGCGCGTCTAGCCGACTTTCTCTCTCTTTTTCTTTGATACGTGAAGAGAGAATCTCTGCTCTGTAAAACAAGTTTTGCTATTGATAGACGCTATTAACGAGTTTTTAACAAAATCATAGATTTGAATTTTGAATTATTCCTAATGATAATTATGTAATTTCGTGTAGCATTGTGTGTGCAACGATATGCGTCAGTAAAAAAAACAGACAATAAGGAAGTGAATGGAAGATCGCGTGTGCAATATTTCATATTCAAATCTACGTGGACGTCACGGAGGAGATACAACACATGGACTTCGCGCTTGAATATCATGCCTCTCGATGACACTCTTTATCATCGAGAAATTTCATATTATGTTCTGTGCTAGTAACAACAAGACGTAACAAGATGTAATGACGGACGTAATACATGACTGTTAATTATGTAATGTTACTCATTCGCGAAGATTACGGATTTATTTCCTATCAGATGGATCACTGGAACTTAGCTGTATCTACAACTTATCTTTTATATATATATATATATATATATATATATATATATATATATGTATATATATGTATATATGTATATATGTATGTATATGTATGATGTATGTATGTATGTATGTAAAAGATTACGTGTAAAACGTGTTAAAAACAGTATAAGTCGGATCAGAAAACTAATAGATTTAATTGTTACTTATTTTATAGAAACATATTCCAGCTTGTAGCTGCGTCGATTGCGAACAGAGTTGTCCTGTACCACCGCCGCCGCCTCCACTGCCACAGCCGTTCTTGATACTTGGATATGATGGCTACGAAGTAGTGATGACGGTTATTTTCGTATGCGGCTCTTGTCTCTTTCTCCTGTTGGTGATGTGTTTCAGTCAGAGGAAGCGTATAGGTAAGAAATTTAGTTTGTGTTGTACTACATCGAAGGCACATACACACTTTTGCGTAAAGCGAAAAACAGAGAAGTAAGATCCTTGCTAAATTTTCCTATGGCACAAATTACAGAAACGGGAAATGCAGTGTGCATTTTTCGATCTTGTTTTTTTGTTTTTTGATTCACTATGTCTTGTACAGTTTATTCTTGATAATTTGTTGGATACGTTAGTAACTAATTTTATTTCATTCGTGTGACTATTATTAATCTTATACATAATTTGTAAAATAAGTGGGGAGAGGATGAAGATGTAATTAGTCGATCACCATGTCATTAATCTTTTCCTTTTTTGTGCATAATTTCTTATTGCTACTTGTCCTTTGGTTGCGGTCAAATCCTTACTCTGCACTTATTTTACTCTATTTAAATCGCCAAAAAGTACATATAACATTGGGAACATTGAAGAAAGGAAACATTATTTTTGTGAGAAATAATGGGAAAACGTATCTTAATAGTACAGTGACTACTTAACATACGTAATCGTACAATGTGTCGTACATTTGCATTTGCAAATGGAGTATATAATATTTATATTCAAAACTATGTAGAAATTACAGCATATAATATTGCTCTATAATTCCTAATTCCAAGATTGTTTGAAAATTGGTCCCACGGTGATTAATATTGCATTCTCACATTGGATGTACTTTGGATTGGATCAGCTTATTGAATGCTCGATATATAATATGTAACAAATTAGTTTTTCTCAATAAGTTATTAATATGATTATTAACATTCTGCACTAACTCCTTAGTTATCTTTGTCATTTCATGAACTAAGACATGCGTAACTCTACATAGTTTCGATCCTAATGAGTGTAAGTTAATAACTTTTCGTTTCTGTAGGGATTATCTCTTTTTATCATTACGTTAACTACTTAATACATTTTTAATTAGCAAATGATTTGTATAGCAAATGTAACGAATATAATAACGACTATAAGTTGGTATGTATGGTGTGCGTGTATGTATAGTCGCACGAGGGGAGGAGGTAGGAAGACAGGTGGGTAGACGGTTAGCTGCCGGGTTACATCACCCAGGAGATGGTGCTCGTATTGCCCTCGCCGCTGACCAAGAAGACAGCCCACTTCAATCTAAGCGTTCTAGTAGGTTCTCCCGATTCTAAAACTATAATCGATGTCTATCACTGTCACCGTTGTTATTCATCCTTCTCGTTTATTGTCTTTTCGTTGCTTTATCGCTTTCTCGTTTTAATTTAGCCCCGCCGATTCATCCCCTTCGGAGATCATCCTCGGCGCATGAGATCAGTCTCTTCTGATTACTTGCACTTAGGTTTATGATTATGTCTTTTTTATCTTGCAACTGACAATGCAATTTTTGTATATTACGTATTATAACCTTTGCAATACTGCATTCACTATAAATTATAATGATTAACTGCTCGATGGCATTCAAAACAAATACTTAAGAGCGGCACTTGACCAGAGGTTGTGTGCACAATCGCTAACAAAAAAATTGATAAATAACATGTGCTTGAGATTACATATTAAACTAATGTATTACGCTGCGTAATAATCTCTCATCGGAGTGTGCATGAAGTGACGCTCTTTCTTTCAAATAGGTGACATTAAAAAAAAGAGTTCCGAATTTTGGATGAAGGAGTATATATAATTTTTATGCTGTTTTAATTAGAAAATTATGTATATTCTTCCTGCTCACAAAAATTGTGTTGTGTAAGTCTCTTGTTTCAATCTTTCATGCTATCTCAGGTTTTGCATGTTTGATATGTTACATGACTGCTAGACTCTACTTTAAATAATTAAAAGTAGAATGTGTCATTTTAATAAAGCTTAATGAAGGAAGAAATCCTCGTGATAGCATTGGAGGCCGTTTACGTAAGTAAGTGAGATGACAGTAAATGTTTTATATTCAGTAATATGATACGTCGTGTACATTACGAGATATTCAAGTAAAAGGTGTAGATCTAAATTTGCTGGACATTGTGTCCAGCAAATATTGTTGTTAATTGAACGGAACCTCTAATGTTGTTGAGAAAGAATTTCTTAGAATATTGATATGTAAATAATTGGATAGTTGTAGTTGTTATAAATTCATATGTCCCCGATATTAAGCATTATTTCATACTTTAATAAGATTATTGTTTCTGATGATTAAGAATTATCAAGACAGTCTACGTTAATTTCGTAAATATCATTTATTCTAAAAGTCAGTGTGCTTTTTTCTAATAGATCTTTTTAAGTCTGCCTTAGCAAATCTGTAACTTGTGTAATGTTGTCGTATCACTTGTAGTTTATAAATTGTTAGTTATTTGCAGCATTGTACTCAAGATCGTGCCGTGATGCTTGATCGGTCGTACGAATCGAATAGAATTTGTTATACTTCCTGTTATAAACGTTTTTAGGTGTTATATCTACGGATGATATACCAAGCGGATTCGACGAAGAACAGTCTACTTTCATCGAAAAGCTGGGCGCAGGCACGGATAAATTATTGCAGAAATTCTTCTGTAAATGGGGCACGAGTAAGTTAAAATGCCGCTTTGTATACATTATAAAACTACTTTTACGTAATATCATAAATTCTCTTGAATACAACACTTCTCTCTGCGAACTGCTTCTCTGACACGCCACTGTTTCTTTGCAGTTTGCGCTTCTCGACCTTGGGCAATACTTTTCCTCGGCTTCCTACTAATTGTCGGCCTGGGACATGGTATTAAATACATGCACGTGACAACAGATCCTGTGGAATTGTGGGCGTCGCCAAATTCTCGGTCGCGTGTCGAAAAAGAATATTTCGACCAGCACTTTGAGCCTTTCTATCGAAACGAACAGATCATTATAACTTCTACTGGCTTGCCGAATGTAAGTATCAACTGTCAAAGTATGTTATTTTTCTTGATGTAAAGAGAGAGGATAGTTACATAAAAAGAGAGGATAGAGACATAAAAATGCTAAATGATTTATTCTTGTTATCGGTACTACATATAAGTCGATATTGATTGATGACAGATTTTGCATAACACGAGCAATGGTCCTATCGTCTTTGGTCCTGTGTTCAATGACACCTTCCTGAAAGTAATACATGAACTGCAAGAAGAAATTAAGAACATAAGTACTCCTAATAACTACACATTAGCCGACATATGCTTCGCTCCTCTGTCTGGACCGTTTACCGGTCCAAAGACAGTATCGCAGTGTGTTATCCAGAGTATCTGGGGTTATTGGCAAGATAATTTGTCAACGTTCGAGTGGATAGAATATGATGGCAATTATACGGTGAACTATTTGGATCACTTCCGAGCTTGTTCACAGTAAGTAGTTGTAGGTAAAAATGAAGCATTTACTTGATATATTTGTATTAATCGTCGCATGTTACTTTCTCCAGGAATGCTTATAATCCTTCTTGTCTCGGTCTTTACGGCGGTCCAGTGGAACCGGCGATCGCGGTAGGCGGATTCTTAACTCCGGGTCAAGATCTTCATAATCCGCCATACGAAAAGGCCACCGCTATCATTATTACCATCCTTGTCAACAATTACCACAATAAAGCCAAATTGCTACCCGCTATGGAGTGGGAAGAAAGGTGAGTTCACTTTTTATCAGTCAAAAAATTCGACTCGAATGAGATCGTATCGTTCATCGCACACTTCGTCTATATCCAGCTTCATCAACTTCATGAAGAATTGGACGGCAACGAAGAAACCGGCGTACATGGACGTAGCGTTCACGTCTGAACGCTCGATTGAAGACGAGCTGAATCGCGAATCTCAATCGGATGTTCTGACTATCCTCGTATCGTATGTTATCATGTTTGCGTACATCGCGATTTCACTCGGCCAAATTAGAACCTGCGGCCGACTTTTGGTGAGTATCTACCTCACACAGCATTCGTTCGTTTTGCGTTTTTCAACGTATTTTTCACTTACGATGTGATCAATGTTTCAGTATGACTCCAAGATCACTCTGGGGCTCGGAGGTGTACTCATAGTGTTGGCGTCCGTGATTTGCTCGGTCGGATTATTCGGCTTCATCGGAGTACCGGCTACGCTCATCATCATTGAAGTTATTCCTTTCTTGGTATTAGCGGTTGGCGTGGATAACATCTTTATCCTTGTTCAAACTCATCAGAGGGAAGGCAGACGTCCAAATGAGTCGATACCGGAACACATCGGTCGCACATTGGGTCAAGTTGGACCCAGCATGTTACTCACCAGCGTATCAGAAAGCTGTTGCTTCTTCCTTGGTATGTATCGACGTAATATAGCAAAGTATTTAAATTGAAACGAATAGTTACTCGTACATACGAATGAGTTGCTTTTTCTAATTGATGTCTTTGTTGCTTTGCAGGTAGTCTGTCCGATATGCCTGCAGTGAAGGCATTCGCTCTCTATGCTGGAATGGCATTATTAGTAGACTTCATATTGCAAATTACATGTTTTGTCAGTCTCTTGTCGCTTGATACGATTCGACAAGCGGTACGTTGTACAAAGTGAAAGTAAATTTACACATTAGGAACCAAAATCTCTAATAATAATTAAGCTTATTACATTTTGGTATAAAAATTTAATATGTTTCATATGCGTGATTTCAGAGCAACAGGTTAGACGTCTGTTGCTTCATCCGTGGTTCCAAGAAAGATAACGGAGAAGAAGTGGTAGACGGAATATTGTACAAAATTTTTAAGGTGGCGTACGTCCCATTGTTGTTGAAGAAGTGGGTTCGCGCGGTCGTGATGATCGTGTTCTTTGGTTGGCTCTGTAGTAGTATCGCCGTGGTACCACATATCGAAATCGGCCTAGATCAAGAGCTCTCTATGCCCGAGGATAGTTATGTGCTCAAATATTTCAAGGTACACGGATTTACCATCAACACACACGTGTTTGAGCACAAATTATAAAATACTAAAACCGTCTGCGTTTTTTTTTTTTCAGTTCTTAAACAATTATTTGTCGATCGGACCGCCGATGTATTTCGTCGTTAAGGATGGCCTAAATTATTCAGACGTGAGAACGCAGAATTTAGTGTGCGGTGGACAATATTGCAACAGCGACTCGATATCGACGCAAATCTTCATCGCGTCCAAACAATCAAATATGTGCGTTACAGCCAGAAAAATCCAGAGCAGTTTCGCGAACAATGCACGCGCATATAATTTTAAGTGGCTCGCATATTCAAATCTTACCGAGAGCATTTAGTTTTATCTTTTTGTTCTCAGGTCGTACATAGCTAAACCTGCTTCGTCGTGGTTGGACGATTATATCGATTGGTCAAGTTTACCCAAATGCTGCGCATTTTTTCCTGGGAATTATTCATACTGTCCACATAGTCATTTACGTACGTAAGTTATTTAAATACGTATAATTTATCGTGATCAATAGGTATAAATCGATAACAGTGATGAGAGAAGTATCACAGTAAAACTCTAACTCTACGAGAATTGCCTTAGATCTTTTTCTAAAAAATTCGATACTAATTAATATTGCTAGAAGATCAATGAAATATGAAACTATGATACGTGGATGAGTATACGATATTTCATCTTTTGAGAAATGTACTATCGATAAAGTTGCGTAGGAAAATTATGAAAAACCAAATTATAATATTGATGAAATTCTATTGGAAAATGATGAACTATAATTTTATCGTACTTCATGATACTTTTATGCCATCAGACGTTATGCTCGTTATCTTAATTGAATTTGCTCCTTTTTTGACAGAAATGAAAACTTGCAACGCTTGCAACATTGCACTGGATGAGTACAAGAGGCCTGTGCCCACTGAATTCAACAAATATGTGTCGTATTTCCTAGAAGACAATCCCGACGATACTTGCGCAAAAGGTGGTCACGCGGCCTACGCGCACGGTGTGAATTACGTTACGGATCCTCAGACGGAAATGTCGACGGTAGGCGCTTCATATTTTATGGCTTATCACACTATCCTGAAGACATCGGCGGATTATTACGAGTCCATGAGAGCGGCTAGAACTGTGGCGGCGAACATCACAGACATGCTCAATTGCAACACGAGAAACCTCGGTCAAAACATTACGATGGAAGTGTTCCCCTACAGTGTTTTCTACGTATTTTACGAACAGTATCTAACCATGTGGCCTGACACGCTACAGAGCATTGGAATTTCATTGCTCGCTATATTCGTGGTCACTTTCCTGTTAATGGGCCTGGATATCTTCTCTTCGTTGGTCGTTTTGATCACGATCACGATGATCGTCGTCAATATCGGTGGCCTCATGTATTGGTGGCATATAACTCTGAACGCGGTGTCTCTGGTGAACCTAGTTATGGTAAATAAACTTTTATAAGTACTGCTTGATATTAATAATATCGTTACATTTGTTCTTAGTTACATTTTCTTTGTTGAGTAAGGAGCAAATATATGTTAATACTAGGGAGAGGGAGAGAGGGGAAGAGAAAGGTATCAACTGTAGAAGATGTAGCTTCAAAGGATGATACCATTAGAAAATTCTTTGTACTAATTAATTTTTTTCGTTATAGGCGGTCGGTATAGCTGTCGAGTTTTGCAGTCATCTAGTGCACTCCTTCTCGGTGTCAGTTCAAACAACTAGAGTAGACAGAGTTGCAGACGCGTTGACGAACATGGGAAGCTCTGTATTCAGTGGTATCACGCTAACGAAATTCGGCGGCATTATAGTTCTCGGCTTCGCGAAAAGTCAAATTTTCCAGGTTAGTCTTTGTTTCTGCGTCAATACGATGATACAGTATAATACAACATACAAAAATACTGTGATCATCTTGATCTCGATTTCTCGAATTATCGCGATTAAAATGTACAAATTTAGTCTTACTGCATCTAAAAACTGTTGATTAATAATTCCTTTATTTTTCACATTTTGAATTTGTTTAGAATTTTTTAATTTATAATTATTACACAATAGAGCAATACGATAGATTTTTCTCTTTATAAACATATCAGAAAATCGACAATCTGCTGTGTTTATCTAATTCTGTCAAGCAACATTACACTTAAACAAGCGATGTTCTTGCAGGTGTTTTACTTTAGGATGTATTTGGGCATTGTACTGTTCGGAGCAGCGCATGGTCTCATCTTTTTACCAGTATTGCTAAGTTATATAGGTAAGGAAACACTGTTTTAAATGGTTTTAAATGGTTTTTTTCTTTCTGACACATTAATCAGGAATATCAGTAAAGTTTATATTACATTCCTTGGTGACGCAAATCTTTTTCGAATCCACATCTATCATGCTGTCGTTCAGTTTTAATTTTTTGAAACTTATAACCCGTACACACATACACACGTTACAATAAACATTGCAAGGAAAGTATGATAATACAGGATTTATATAAAATAGTATGTACAAACTTCTCAGATCACAAATTGTCTCATATTGGATTTATGTTTATTCTATAGCGAACTAATGTTTCATTAACGCTTTGTATCGCATAAAACATTTTTTGTACAACTTTAAGTTTTACCGTAGAATAAATAGGGGCATGCTTGAGACAACAGGATTACAACAGGATCGCATTTTAGATGCTTAACAAGAACAAAGAAATTACATGATTTCTTTCTTCTTAAAAAACACCAGTGTTATGTTAATCGAGGTCTTATTTTCATATCCCTACAAGCGCACACCACAAACGTGCGGAAAAGTATTCTCGATATACCTTTCTCACGTACAATGCAAGCAGCTTTTATAAATTTGGCGAGAACCGCATAGTGCGATAATAATTTACGTTCGGATGTTTTCACGCCAAAACTTACCTGCTAGTACGCCTACGCTTAGCTTATCTTCACTAGAGGGATCAGTTATATAAAACGCGATTGTGTGTAACTGGCGTCATGGCTGCTGGTGATTCTAGGCTCACCCATGAACAGAGAGAAGTTGGCCAATCACAAGAGAGCGTTGCGTGGCAACCTGGACAACGTGCAAGAGACGTCTTTGAATCATCGTGTAAGCAAACACAATTCTCCTCCCACACCCACCACAACCACACCTACGTTCAAAGTGCTCGAATGTGACAGATAGGTATGCAGAGCATTTGAATTTCAAAGTAAAAAAAAAGAAAACACTCGTATTGTAACGTGTGGTAAAGTCTCACCTGGCATTTCTTTTATATCTCCAAAGTGTATAATACTATCCACGTGCTATTCCTGCTACACACGATGTACATAGATTAAATTGTTCGTACGACGTTATCGAAATTGTACTTAACATTATTGTCATGATGTGTGGTATTCGTCGATGCATCCAGAAAGTGCAATTTTCTTTAATGTAAGACACCGAATTTTTTTTCCATTTATATACTAATAATAATTATAGTTCATTTTTATATTTATATGATTACCTTTTCTCTAACGAAAGACTATTTGTACTCAAGCATATTTGTTAGAAGAGAGAAATTACTTGGTTTTTGCAGTAATATTGGGTGGGTTTGTGAGATCAGAATTGATAAAATTATGGAAATATAAAAATATACAATTGCACTTTTTGAATGCATTAATGTGGTGTTCCTTGACTGTTGGAAATTGCATTTTATGAAGTTCTCATTGAAGTGTAAGTTCAGTTGTTTGGAAATATGCTTTTATATTATTTTTATTTACTTATGACTTGCATTTTTATCTCTATGTAAATGAATGAGATTGGAAGCAGCGTATTTATTAAATTCAGCTAAATAAGATAAAATTAAATAGGAAAACACTGCATTAATGTATACGAGGATGTCATACCAACAAAGCAAAAATACAAATAATAATGGTAACGGTAAATTAAAGTGTTATTTAAATTACTGTCCGAGACCGGATTAAAAATCTGGTTAATTTATATAATTTATAATAGCTTCCATTAAATTAATCATATTATTCTAAAACTGAGTTAATTATAAAGACAGCGATTTTCTCGCGATACAGTCATACACTTCATTTCTCATATATGCAATATGCAATATACTACTTATTTCTAGTAGATGTGCATAAATACACAGATTGTATAAAGTGTTTGTTAGCTTGTACATTGGCTCAATAGTAGCTATTAATTGGCCGTTAAGATTTCTCTAGCGATATCGATTTATCTAAAATCTGCACTTGAAATCTTGATCATCTTGATGAGCATAATTGGATAGAAAAGCTTGATAGAAATTCGCTTTTGTATGTGTGCAGTGTTATTACCGTACACGCTATTATTTCGTTAGTATTTTTTTTATCCTTTTCTGCTTGTCTGTGTGTTCTCGTCATTACATGGGTGGACAGATAAGATACGTTGCATTATCTGACATATTTCCCAGATGACTGTACATACGCCTAATGTTTAATTATAATCATTACGCGTATATCTATTACAACATATGAGAAATTTCCGGGATCGCAAACTCTCTTCGGTGATCAATAGCAGATACTTCGTTGAAAATTCCGACAAGTCTCGAGAAAACACAGATCTCTTGTATGCTGCTATAAACTTGTCGATGGTATAACAGGGATATGGAAACATAAAGAAATATAATCACTGGTGGAGAGAAATTTGTAGAACACGTAGAATTATCTTATATCACAATTACATTCTATTTTGTTCCGCGACATGTTTCAAAATTCCACATTGAAGCTTATATATACTCGTAGTTTCCAACTAACCACATAACATCATATGTTTTCAATATCTCATTTGCATTTTTATTTCTGTGTCTAACAAGATATTCACTTATATTGATAAGAGATATATATTGGCTATAATGCGTCCTAAGGAATAAATTGTAATTGATTAGTTTAGTTTTATATGATTAAATAATTTAATCATTACAATTAAATCATTTAATCATTATAATTTAATGATTGATTAATTTTATTGCAATAATTAAATATATCGTTAAAAATTTCTTCCATTGCATGGAAGAAATTTTTATATAATCCATGGTTCGATGGAATATTGGATTCAATTTTGCGAACGCAAACATAGTTTTATCATATGAGAAATATTGTGTTCCGTGTTGTTGGCTTGTAAATTGTAAGCTAAAAGAATATTCTGAATGTAGAAACAGTGCTGTACAAACAATACATTAAGACAGTTGCTCGTTTCTATTGATGTATATACGACCAAGCATGCTGTAGAAATAACCAAGTCGCGAGAATGACTATATTCGAATGTGCTCATATAATTGATTCTTTATGTCTGTTTTCAGGCGTGATGTCGCGCCGAGGGCGTAGACAAGCCCGCGAACTTACGAGCGGGCCCAGAAGTGAAACTAGGCGTCACCAATGTGACGAGCCGGATTCTCCTCTACTCCAAGACGACAACCGTCAACGCCCGACCACTTCCTACGCCAGTGTGAACTCCATCGATGCGACTGATCACCACGCTGTATTGTTCTAAAGCCGATAAATCGAATCGTCATTCGTCGGACTTTCATGTCGGACGTAATCTTTTGTACTTAGAAAGACTGAAGAAGAAGAAGCTGATTATCTAACATAAGCATCAATAGTGTGTTTTTTAACTGTCTGACCCCGCGGCTTGTGAAGTCGCGGGAGAGCTGCAACGAGCTCTCAGATATTCACAGAGATACTATAGAAAGTTTCACACGTATTATGTGTCCACCAAATTTTAAGAGAGAGACTGGTGAAAGATGTCCATCTACGTTCATATCTGGTATATTATTTTTAGCGACAAAAAAATTTATTTTATATAGTTGCGTAGACGTTTGTTGTCTTTAGCGTATTTATTTCGGGCAGTTTTTTTTTTTTTAATTATTAATAGCGTTAATTGTCACAGACTGCATATTTCAAATGAAATATCGTATAATCGTGGGTGGTCAATCAAATGACCGGTTTTAGGTGGTATAATAATTTAATTAGGACAAGGAATTCGCGTTTTTCTTATAGCCGTTCGCAATCACGTTGGTACGTAGATTGTGATACATACGTAACAAAATACGTGCGACGGACATAAAATGCATTTTCTTGTTTCTAACGTGAATGCATTTTTTTCATTGTGAGGCAGATCCTTCTTTCTGATATTGATATCCAGTTATTGCTGATAATTTTAGACGTTCTATGAGTGTGACGTCGAGATATGGGCACAATAGAGCTTGATGCAGACGGATGTGAATTCATACATCGTGTACGCGATTCCATTTTACGCGCGATTCGAAAGTACTAGAATCCTTAGTGACGCGCGTTTACACTCTCTGACATTAACGCGACGTGCACGCTACGACAGAAATTTATTGAGTGAATCTAATATTTTCATTTCTTTTTTAATAATAATTTAGGAACAAAATATATAAATACTACACGCTTTTTAATTTTTATATCTATTTCAATTTACTGGATATCCAAACACTTCGACAGCAAGTCAGATATTTTTTGTTACATCAAGCGGCAAGCATTATTTTAACGTTGTGTTATAATCGCGTAATCGTCGCGTTAAACGCGCCCGTCTGCGTCGAACTTTTTCGAACCACTCGTGATCATTCATATTAATCTCATGGGAGATAAAACACATCAAGTTATCCGTGACTGAGAGATAAATACGACATCGATACAAATGTTCTTTCTTCAAAATTAAGAAAAAGTTCTTATTAGTCCGGGCGATATTTTTTTTAATCGCCTGTAGCATGTCGCGTGTGATGCGTATTTGAAATTTGTGTAGGAAAGGAAAGAAAACTTCGCACTTATGCCGTCCACAAATGAAATATATTAAAAAAACGAAGAAAAAAGTGATGAACGAAACACGTAGAATCAATCGTGGCTAGGGATGTTGTGATACTACTGGTATCATTTTTCTTTAAATACCTGGTATTTTCTTTCGATATACGTATGCTATATCAGCATTACTTTGTTTCATTTTTTCATTTTTTTTTAAATTACATGCCAAGAATTATTGCAGTATATGTGGACAGAAACAATATATGCACAAAATAATATTCGTGATTGATTCAGCATACTTGTAAAAATATTCAGATGCTTCCTTTTTATTTCAACGCTCAATAAATTGCTGAAAATTAATCTAACTTGCAAGTTACATTAATACGTTTTAAATCTATCTTCTAATTTCTGTTATATTAGTTATTTATTGATTGTTGAAGTAAAAGGATGTTAGGACATTTTTATAGATATGCGGAGTCGATCAGATGTTATTTTGTGTATATTATTTTATTTCTGCGTATACCGTAATTTTTAACATACGATTATTCGTTTCTGATGTCATCATACAAAGGCAGTCATAGCGAAAATACAAGAGCTTTAACGCATCCTTTTTAAGATTTTTAAATTACAAACCGTAGAAGTCTAGTGCGAAAGATAGAAGTTTATATCATATTATTTGTAGACGTACGAAATCCTTAAAAGTAGTTTGCAAGATCAACACTCTTCCCTGAATTTTATATGAATCAATCAATTTATTCGTACTTCAGCATACAGCCAAAAAGTAAGAAATTAGTTTATATAATATCATAACTTACGCATCCTTCCCACGTATACATCTATACTATTGTTCATCTCTATCTATATCTTCTAACTCTCTGATTTTTATATTTTTTCTAATTTTAAGCGTTTTTAAGTTTCGATATCAGTATCGATATCTCGATATTTTTGCCCTATATCGATACTCTTTATTACATACCATATAGCGAATTCGGTAGCTTGCACTAGTGCGCGTTAAGACTTCTTTACAGTAATTTTTATATTTAAGATCGTGTCTTAAATACATATTTAAGAACATTTTAGCTAATAAAATGATTCGTACGAATATTGTACATATCATATTACTGATTAAAAATATTTGAGAATTTATTTAAGACAATCTTTAAATATAATAACATACTATGAACAAGCCTTAGTGCGCACTAGTGCAAGCAACCCAATTCGCTAATAGACTTATATACCACACTGCACGGCCTGTAGAGAGGAGTGAAGCCAAGATGAAAGAACAGATATATATATGTGGAGTAAGTATGTTAGACAAGGAACGCCTTATTACACATATATAAATCTGTATATATCTCTCTTTCCATCTTGGCTCTCCTCTCCACAGGCCGCGCAGTCTAGTATATATATATATATATATATATATATATATATATATGTAATATATATATATATATATATATATATTAGATACCAGTTTCAAAATGAGTATCGATACTTTCACGGTATCACAATATCCTTAATTGTGAGTAATAATATCGATGATGAATCGATGATCGATCTGTATATTTGCTAGTAAAAATGATATCTATATCAGGATCCAGGCTTTCGAGTCTCACGTTAAATTTTCTTCACAAAATATGTAGGAGGCGTCAGTATTGTCGATTATATATCAGCATATGTTTTGTTTATTCTTTAACACGCTCCATGCCATGCATGTACTACATGCTGAATTTTCCATTCAGGCCGTTTAATATTTTCAGAAAAAAATATTATCATAAAGTATTTTATATGATTAATACATGATTATGCATAGAATGGTTTTCACATCGTATATCATTGGCGGTACACGCGATGTAACATTTATTTACATACGGCCTATTATCTTTTAAATCTTTTAAATCTTAAATTAATCTTTTAATCTTTACTTAGAATTTACTTTACTTAGAATAATACTTTTAAATCTTAGATTTATTATAAAATATACGTTTCTAGGTATAATAATATTCGTATAATAAACGCGTCAACGTGGTGGATTATTCGTGATACACACGGTCTGAATGGAAAGTTGTGTAAAAACGGTTTGGCATGTGTTAAGTGAATATTGTTTCGCAAGTTAAGCAAGTACTAAAAAAATCTCGCATATTTCTTATGGAAAAGTATATGAATATTTGTTCATAAAAATGTAAAGTAATGAGGGCCTATAAGAGCTAAGCGCTAGGAGAATGTGCGCGAAAACGAAGCAAAAATGAACATATCTCTAAAAGATTTTCCTTTTTATCGATCCCCTACACGCTCCCGAAGTTTTGATATTTAAATTCGGGACACCTTATGTGTATATATATATAAAATAATATATTTTAATTAATATATATTAATTATATATATTAATTATATTAAATATTTGTTCCTTTTGTGGTTAGTTTTGTCGCAGAATCCCGGATATATAATTGATATGTTCATAACACATGTGCATCAAATGGAACAGATTATTGCAATAGGGTGCTTTTTTTCATCATTATATTTCCCGCATCTAAATATTTTTCTTTGCTTCGTAATCATATCTCATCGTATCTTTAATTTCCTTGACTCATTTAAGTTGTAATAATTTTCTCTTATTCTGTTCGTTATTATGACTAAAACATGTCGTTCCTCCCTATAGTTCTTTCGTTAAAAAATTTCATGGAAAATTTTTTTTCTTTCCATGTCCTATTTCACAATGCTGCGGTCGATGCAATGATTAATTTGCTTCTTTACCTCGTAAACTGATGTATGGATCCTCCACAAGACAATGATAATAATACAATTGTATAATATATAATTTATATATGTACTTATAATTCTTAATCCAGAAGAACCTGTAGTAAGTTTATTCACACCTAATTTATTATATTTTTCATTTTTAAGCACTGGTTGTTGTAACAAAAGATCGAGAAAAGTCGAGGTAAACTTGATTCTCCCTTATATATGTTTTGTTCCGTAAATTTATTTTTATTTTCTTTTTATGTACTTCCCTTAAATATATCCATGTATGGTACTCATTGGGCACAAAAGAACATATCAGATTATTTGAAAGAGATACGGCAGACACTTAGATTCTATGATTTCAGAGCTCCATATTTCTTTACTCCTTGATTTTCTGTAGTGACAATGGAGGTATTTATTATCAGAATTATAAAAAGTACAATACTATTTCCGGACAAATGGATAATTGGAACAATTTGAAATCGGTGTCACTTTTCCATAAGAAACGTGTGGAGTTTTTTTCGATGTATGAAGTATTACATGGTGGCTATGCAAAGAGATATTTCGCGCTCCCATATTATTAGCTTATTAATTGCTGAGAAATCTTCGCGAAACTCGGTTATAATTATTTACTTCAACCAAGACGGAGAAAGATGTAGCGTTAAGTAATTGTGTTAAGAATTGGATTTGCGATAAAATAAGTGAAAATGTCAAAGGGACTAAATGTGAATTTTTTTTGTTCAATCAATCGCTTTATGGAGCGTTGTTCGTTACGTTAGGCTTGAACAGTTGAAACTATTGTAAGAAATTTTTGCACTGATATCGGTGAGCGATGTGTCCATTTAAGATTGTACTGTAGTTCCGGACCTTGGCAGTCATTGGTTAAAGCATGCATAGGAATATTAGGAAGCAGTGAGTCCCGGGGCAATCTGGCATAGACAGAGGTTGGGAACGAGACATAAGCGTTTGCATCGTAGTCGTGGACGCAAAGTAAGACAGAGAAAAAAAGTATATATATATAAGTCGTGAGAAAACTATTGTATGGATGTGAAAAGTCGCGAGAGAAAGAAATATAGAAAGATAATTGAATCTTAGTCCTCGGACGGAAAGGTCGAGGTAAACGGGACCTCAGCCTGACATTTAAGCTTATGTGTATGCGGTGTATGTACAATTAATCATTATTTTTTGTGGAAGTTGTTTGCCAAAATATCTGTCTTACTCTAAGATAGAAAACGTGCTAGCGAGCTAACTTTAGCCAACTTCGGTAAGCTTCAACTGGCTATACCGATAAGCTACACGTGCAATAGTGGCCAAGTGGTGAGAAGTCCCCACGATCTGGCATCTCTGCATACGCCGTCCGCTAACAGCTTCATGTAACTTTTGGTATCCTTTTCTTTAGTACTCTCTCCTCAACCAAAACACACTTTCTCAAAAAAATAATATATTGGGGCCAACTTCACACCTTTCCCTTTGTGTTTCACCACTTTTCCGAGTTTTACCATCTTTCTTTCCGAGGATTAAAATATATACACTTTAATTACGGTACACGATTTTTTAATCCTTTATATGGCAAAATTCCTTGGACTAATATTTCTATCTTTTTTTTTCACGTTTCATGTTTGGCTTCGTTGAAGTATTAATCAATGAAGGCATGCGTTTCTTTCTTCAGATTGGTATCGTGTATGTAATACACGTGCAGATGCGTAAGAAAGAAAGAGAAACAACAGTGGATCATTCATACGTTAGGTATTTTGTAAGTTCGTATAAGCAAGAACGCCGTAAACGATGTAAGTTTAGTTTATTGGCTGGCAGAAATGTGTGTGTTCGATATGATATAAGCGATATCTAATTTCGCTAAATACTTACAGAGCGAGACGTTTAATATGCGTTAAGTACCGCACACAGTTGGGATCAAATAAAATTTCATATTTCAGAAAAGGCTGCATTTCGAAATTTAAACCTTTTTTTTTTTTTAATGAAAACTAGTGAAATTTAGAACAACTTTGTCGAATTAGAATTTTGTCTTTTGCTTTTCTTCTTCCGAAGTCAGACATAAAGAAATTAGATTTATAGAAATTTGTGTCAATCAATTTCGACAGATGCGAAAGCTGAACGTGTTAAAGAGCAACTAATAACTTTTATGTTTGAAGACAAAGAATATCTCCGAGTAAAAAAGTATATGCAAAAAAGTATACAGGGATTAAAAGACCAAGTACATTGTAGCGTTTCTTGAAGTCAGAAGATGATTGAGTCAGATGCAGACTGCGGACCACAAAGTGCTAATTCGGCTTTTTGCTAGAAAATAAAATAAAACTGGATGTGATGTGGGTATTCTTTTGAATTTAAAAATTACAGAACTTCACCAAGCGCGCCTCTTGACAGACAAATCCGAGCTGGTAACGATATATCCATGTTCGACTGAGCCGGTAGGCAATGCGTGTCGACTTCATTCGAGAGCGATCGATGAAGTGTCGATTCTCAAGCGTAAAAGATTCATATTCGCGGTGATGTGCGTTTTAAACGACTCGCTCTACATTAATGCCGATTCGTTCGAAGTATATATAATTGACGTTTTTCGATTTATACCGCACCGTGTATATACACTATTATGGCGAACTGCATATCAATAGAAGCTTGGGTATAAAGTAATGAAGTATATCGGTGAACAGATGTAGACGTTAAAGTGACTCAACGTAATGACGGATATGACATAAGTAAAAGCCAAGGAAAATTAGAAAAAGGAGCCCGAAGAAGCATCCGAAAAATAATGCGCTGAGCTGTGTTGTCATGTGAATACGAATAAATTTTCTCCTGTTTGTACCATACGAAACCGCAATGTGTGTGTATGTGTGTATGCGCGCGCCACTCTGTTCCGTTTATATATATATATATATATATATATATATATATATATATATATATATATATAT